AATCTACCACCTCCTCATGTTGGGTTGAATAGCACTTTCGCAGCACCGACAACTAGGGGAGAAGGGGTTAGTAAGCTTGAAATGGGAGACTGACAAAACAAACAGAAAAAATTTCCTCCCGCAAAGTACGATCTCCTCCCTCCGCCGGCCCAATTCTACCCCCCCCCCCCCCATTGCATATAACAAAACGGATAGGGAGCACGGAGAGAGCTTTCGTTTCCTTCATGTGGACACAGTAGTTCAACAACGAGCACCTTTCCAATTTGGAGTTCATTCCAGGCAATTTTGAAACATTGTGAAGACTACCAGGAGATGATAGCCATACTGTTGATATAACTGTCATTAGTAGAGTCGTAATTAGTCGGTCCGCCCCCGTTTCGTTTCCACCATTGATTGCTTCTTTCTGAATCGGTCACTATCCGATCACCAGTGGTAGAGCAAGGCAGCCTCAGACGGGCGCATACAGCCCTCGGCAAAAGACAAGACTATCATATCGTTCGTATCAGTCGTCACGGCGACTGGAAGCGAATCAGGCAGGGCACATCCCAACGGAGGAGGTCATTTACCGCTGAAGTGGGGGGGATCGTAATGAGAGGGGCAGTCAGCACCGAACAGCGCAAAGGTGTCAGTGTGCTGAGTACCGTATAGCGACACTTGCTTTGAGAGAATCCAGATATGTAAAAGACAGTAGAAAATTTAAGTGGCTTAACTACCTCTAAGTGACTAGGATGATAAGTCGGCATAACTTTGTAAGCACGTAGACGGCTCAACAGTACAGCTCAACAGTATACTCTGGTTCGCTGCGGAGGACAGGGTGTGTCCGAGCGACTACGTCTGGCGCTGCGCCAGCCTGCTTTTTTCTTCCGGCAAAAGACAAGACTATCATATCGTTCGTATCAGTCGTGGCGCTCAAGAAAAACGCTCCGGCGAAAAGCTTTCAATACGTATCGATTGGCGGTTGGGCGAAAAACGCTAGCCCCACCGACCAGGCGTTTTTCTCTACAGCGGAGCCAGCGAAATCGATACGCATCTATTGCTTTTCGCCGAACCGCCAAACCGCGGCGGCGTTTCTCCTGAGCGGTTGGCGATTCTCCAATCAATACGTATTTATTGCTTTTCGCCGAACCGCTGTTTCGTCAGGGTCGCAGACAGTGAACAATGCCTTACGCCCATGATGGGCGAACGGCATTACGTAGAAGTTGCACCATCCCACTACCTCTGCGTGGGAGCCTAAGCATGGCGCATCCAGAAATGAAGCTAATGGGCGCTAAACCAACTACTGCTCAATGTTATTCCACGAACGGACCCGTTCCAGATGCATTGTTGGGTATTCAAATACGCCCACTTTAAAAGGTACATAGAAAACGGGTTTTTCGCGCAGCTCGAAATTTTTTGAAAAATCTCCAATGCATTTATTCCATGGACCCAGAAACTTCAGAAAGTTTAGGTGGTTTTCAGAAAGAAATCTTCCTCGTTCCGAAACTCCTCTTGTATTTCTGTTTATTTTCTGTTGTGCACTGCTGCACTCCTGTTTTATAAGGGAGACCCATTTCTATTGCTCACTGTTTGAATTGAATGATAGGCACAAACAATAAGGGCGAATGATGGGATGTTGTGAGCTACTGGTTGTTGATTGTTGATTGTTTGTTGTCAACAGTTCTCGATTGCTACATATTAGGTTTAGCGTGGATTTATATTCGCATCATAGACTGGCTGTAATAAGAATGTCTGCAAGTTGATAGCTATTTCAAGGGACTGTATTCTCTAACAATAGTAAACAATAAACGGTTCATGTGGAATGTGCGTATTAATAGTTCCCTATATTGTAAAGAGAAGCGTTAACAGTAACCCCTCCCCCTCCCTTCCTCGCTCGACAGCCAAGTTCTTGGGAAAAACCAGGAATATTTTCGGGAACTTCCGAAAAGACTGGTAAGAAGTTGAGAAAATAAAAGAAAGTGGTAGGTAGGATGGTTCCGAAAAAACTGGTAAGAAGTTCGGAAAATCAAAGAAACTGGTAGGTAGGATGGTAGGATGGAAAGAGAGGGATCGTATCAAGCCACCTTTCAGGGCGGGAGTCGTCCGGACTCGACCAAAATCTCCAACTAATGATGTGCCCTGGACTCATGTCCGCCTCGAGTATGTTCTCAAAATCATATGCGGATGGTTTCACTGACTTGTGTCTGGGACAAGGATGAATGAAGCAACACGACCACATTACAATGTTTCACTTAGCAACAGTTGTAGACATAATCAGAGTTTATATGCGTTCGGGAAGCGCGTTTATTTTACGACGGTATCAGCTTTCGGCGTATACGTGCTTATTTTCATGGCTCGTTTGGAATGACCGAAAGCCAGACAAAGTGAAGGGAACGACGTTCTCTCTAGCAATGTTTGCCAGCCTCCCTGTAAGGTGTCAGACGATGGAGACTGCTGATTACATAGCGTTGACTATCTGAACTTTGGCCAAAGCAACGAGACCAAAAGCTAAGCCGAATAAATCGTTTGCTCCTTTATCTTGCTACAGTCAGAGAAGACCGCAGGCCTGGGACTTGAGACCTGGCAGAGACAGATAGAGCGCCTTTTGGGCCCCACTACCCACAAGTCCATCGCTGTGGTAATTATTCCCTTGGACCCATATAGCTTCTCATGACGACTTCGGGCGGTTTCTCATCTGTTTTCATTCAAAGCCGACGCTCTTAAGTTGCGGGCAGAATGCAATACCACCCCGGGTCCGTTTTAGCAGTCGCGGAAGACGTCCCTTTCCACAGGCTTAAGATCCAGAAAACAAGGTGGCTATCTGAATGGAACGCACAGTGGGCTTCAAGCCAGCGCATAGTCGATGTTCTATTGTTGATTGCTGCATTATTCTGCTTCAAACTGTGTCAGCACTGGCATTGTTGTGCCAGGAATGGTACTGGAGTGATTCCTGCGCAATCCCTTGGAGATTGATGGAGTCTACCTGACAAGACTGTGTTCATCTTATCAAATAAGTTAAAGGTTTCCATTTATTCCACCAAGATTACTTCCCAAAGGAGAAAGAGATCTGTGCGCACATCCCTAAGGCACTGTTGCCATCTCTAAGAACTGTATTAGTCAAACCTCTCTTCAGCGAAGAAACCACACTTATAAATAAGAACTACTTCAAAAACATTGCGCCGTGATAAAAATAAAGAGTACGACTACTTCCTGTTCGCCGCATGTTTACTTGTGCTGTGTGAGGGAGCACCCCTTTATTTTCTTGTGGGTCGTGAGGCACCTTCTATTATTTCAGAGCAACGCACCACGTGTCATAATTTACAGAGACTCATAGAGGATAGTGTACTTGTCCTTTGAGGCGTTAGCCCTCCCTGGATATTTTCAGGCGTCTCGATGCCGATTACTTTGCTGACCAACAAACTGGCTTTCACAACTTTCCCGACTTTTCAGCGGGCGTTTTGTGGGTGGGCAAATGATTTCTGCGAGTGCTAGGCTGGCCTCAAAATATGTGGAGGGTGGGCGACTAC